AGTTCATATCCACCAGCTACTCCTTGGAAGGAAGATGGGGCAATCTACTTCTGTAGTGATACTGCCTTGGAAACCCAAGGAGGGGTCACTATGAGTCAGGTCCGACTCAACAGCACATAACAAAAACAACAGCATGTATGTGTATACACACACACACATGTATCATGTATATATATATATATGATACATATATATGTATGTGTGTGTATATATATGCATATACATGTTCCATGTATATATATATACGATACATATATATCATATATACATATATGTATATATTATACATATATATGTGTATATGCATATACATATATGTGTATGTTATATATATGTGTGTGTGTGTGTGTGTATATATAGGGAGAGAGAGAGAGCACTCTTGTGGTGCAGTACCTAAGTCACTTCACTGCTAACCAGAAGGTTGGCAGTTCAAACCAACCAGTTGCTCCATGGAAGGAAGACAAGGCAATCTACTTTTATAAAGATTTACCCCTTGGAAACCCAATGGGGGTCACTATGAGTCAGAATCAACTAGATGGCAGTGGAATATGGATGGATAGATAGATAAATAGATAGATAGATAGATATGGAACCCTGGTGGTGCAACAGTTAAGCACTTAGCTACTAATGGGAAGATTGGCAATTCAAACCCACACAGTGGTTCCATGAGAGAAAGACCTGATGATTTGCTCCCATGAAGATTACAGCCTAGGAAAACGTATGGGGAAATTTTACTCTACCACATGACATCACTGTGAGTTGAAATCAACTTAACGGCATCTGAAAACAGGGATCCAGGTGAGGAGAGGGAACCCAGGCATGCCCAAAGCAGCAGGGCAGGAGAGTGGGAGAAAGGAGAGGAAAAGGCCCAGGGATCAGGACAGATGAGGAGTGAGCCACAGGAATCCAGGTGAGGAGAGGGAACCCAGGCCATGCCCCAAAGTGACAAGGCAGGAGAGCGGGAGAAAGGAGAGGAAAAGGCCCAGGAACTGGGACAGATGAGGAGTCAGCTGCAGGGATCCAGGTGAAGAGAGGGAACCCAGGCCATGCCCCAAAGTGGCAGGGTGGGAGAACAGAGGAGAGGAGAGGAGAGGAATAGGCCTGGAGACAGGGACAGAGCAAGGAGTCATCTGCAAGGATCCAGGTAAGGGTGGTTGGACAGGTTTCCAACAGGGAGACAAACTTGTCTGTTGGTTTGTCCTACCATATTGTTGTTGTTGTTATGTGCCATCGAGTCATTTCTGACTCATAATGACCCCATGCACAGGAGAACAAAACAATGCCTGCTCCCGCACCAGCTCCATGATCCCTGCTATACTTGAGCCTATCATGGCAGCCACTGTGTCAATCCATCTCGTTGAAGGCCTTCCCTTCTTTCATCGACCCTCCATCTTACCAAGCATTACATCCTTCTCCAGGGAATGGTCCATTCTGACAACATGACCAAAGTAGGTGAAACAAAGTCTGGCCATTCTTGCTTCCAAGGAGCATTCTGGCTGCACTTCCTCCAGGACAGATCTGTCAGTTCTTTTAGCAGTCCATGGTACTTTC